CCACTTTATTCACCAAAAACTGTTTTATAATTCACCAAAAACTGATCTGTAATCTGGAATGTTCGCTACGTTGAAATCCAGTTAGCCACCTTATCTCACTGCGCGAGAGGCAACTGCATCATGCGTCACGGGCAAAAGGTCAAAGGTAACAAGGTGACCGGAGGGCTTATGTTTTTACAAACAAAAAAACAACAAAAAAACCCAACAAAAAAAACAAATAATTTTAGTACATGTTATTATGTATCAGAAAAGGGGTTAGAAAATAATACAAAAAAAAAAAAAAGTTTGACCAAAAGGGCACTTGGGGGCAAGGAGCAAAAGGGGCAGGTGCTCAAGCACCCCCAGCACCCCCAGCCCCCCCACTGCACGTGCCTGATAATAATTATTATATATTTTATTTAAAAGGTGCTTTAAGGGCACATAATGTCACCTCACAATATAAAAATGCATTTTAAAGAAAAACAAATTGCTTCGGCGCACAGACCGACGTGTTACATCTCTATGAAACAAAAACAGGAAAAGTACTATTTTTGAGCGAGGTATTAACATACTTTTATTTTTATTTTCTTTATTTTGTGTTCATGTTAGCTTATTATCTGAGTATAAATGCGGTTCAGGTTTTTATGTTTAAACAATAAAATATTAAAATCATGAAAAACATCGGGTTTGATGCTTCTTGGTCTAAATAACTGAATGTAGTCAGATTTCAGTGTATTTAGGTGAGTTTTGACGCTTTGTAGTTTGATATTGTCCACAGAAAAAGTTTGTGTGGCTGTCGCACATTTTCACGCCAGCGATAAAGTGTGCTTATATTTATGCAAACTTTGACGCAAAGTACATNTGGAGCAGCAGTGGAAAATGAAGACCAGCGTGCTCTCCTCAGGAAACTAGTGGAGAAAAATGGGGATGTCTTCTCCCAGAATTCTATGGATTACGGCCATACAAAGACTGTGCGGCATGAGATCCCTCTGGTAGACTCAAAGCCGTTTCGACTTCCATATCGTAAGATCCCCCCTTCTCAGTGGCAAGAGGTGAGGAACCTTCTGACAGAGATGGAAGCTACAGGAGTTATCCGGCCAAGTAAGAGCCCATATGCATCACCAGTGGTGATTGTTACTAAAAAAGATGGGTCATTAAGGCTTTGTATTGATTACAGAAAACTGAATTCCTGCAGCACACGTGATGCATTTCCTCTGCCTAGAATTGAGGAAGCATTTGAGGCACTGGGGCAAGCTAAATACTTCTCCACACTGGATCTCACGTCAGGCTATTGGCAAGTTGAAGTGGCAGAACAGGATAAACACAAAACTGCATTCAGCACACCCATGGGTCTTTTTGAGGCCAACAGAATGCCATTTGGGCTCCAGAATGCCCCTTCGACGTTTCAGAGGCTCATGACATGCTGTTTTGAGGATCTGAATTTCACTCACCTGCTCATTTACCTTGATGACCTCATAATATTTTCCAAAACATTTGAGGAGCATCTGGAACGCCTCCAGCTGGTTTTTGATCGACTGAAAGAACATGGTTTGAAGTTAAACCCCTCAAAGTGTCAGTTGGTGAAGAAGGAGGTGCAGTATCTGGGCCACATAGTGTCTGCGGAGGGAATCAAGACAGATCCAGAGAAGATCAGCAAGGTTAATAACTGGAAAACGCCCACTAACCGTAAAGAGGTCCTGCAGTTTTTGGGCTTTGCAGGGTACTACAGACGCTATGTGAAAGGTTATTCCACGCTGGCTGCTCCCTTGTACCATCTCACCTCTGGTGACCCCAGAAAGAAAAAGAGAGACACATAAACACACTGATTC